TCTTATCATTCTGACCATTACATCTCATCTCACCTCGTCTTCAGTGTCACTATCGAGTGAGAGAGAGAGCGAACGTAGGTGACAGCTGTTCATGATGTATGTCTTCAGTTTGTTGGAAATGTTTTCCATAACGTCCCGCCAAGTCTCTCAACCATCACATAGAAGCACTGACTCACTTGACTGACATTAGTGTTGAAAATCCGGACACTGTTCACGCTTTATGCTGAGTGCAGATCTCCACACTGATTTCAGGTTAGTGAACGCCTGTCTTGCTATCTTTCCGATCCTGGTTTCGACATCCTCATCTGTGACGCCTCCACCCATAATGGAAACGGTGCTGCATTGCCTAGGTAGGTGGTAGGTGAAAGAGGCAACTCCCTTCAGATTTCTCCCATTGGTGGTCATTGGTGCTTGTTGTTGTTGTTTGGGTATTTTCATCACCTGTCTTCTCTACGTTCACGGGAAGGAAGTTCCATCTTCCTTTGCTGCCTCGCCTCACCTCTTCCGTCAACTTGTTGGTTTTCGCCTGTAGATCTTCGAGTTTGTACCACAAGACATTAAACATAAATCGTCATCGTTGGTGAAATCAAAATTTTCTAGGGTCTTTCCATCGGTCCAGTCAGCGTATGCCCATCCTCTCACTGCTCCTCACGGTTTGCTGCATGATCCAGTCAACCACAATCAACAAGATCATCGGTGATGATAGTAGGCAGCTTTGTCTTATCCCTTCCTGTCTTCACTTCAAAGGCATCACTGAGCTTTCCATTGAGAATCACTTAGCATAGCATATATCTGTTGAATGAGATTGATAAAGGTTTGTAGTATTCCGTAGTATTGAAGCAGTTTCCAAATTACTTGTCGGTCGACGCTTTCAAGGGCCGGCCTTCTCAAAGTCGATGGAGTTGAGATACAGATCCGGTTGACTGTCATTCTATACTCTGTTCTATGATGATGAGTAGTGTAGTGTTGCAATTTGATCTGCACATGATTTGTACTTCCTGAATCCAGTCAAGCAGCCAGCCTGTTTCGGTCGTAGTTTTGAATCCAGTGCATCCTTTAGTCTTTCCAGGATGATGTGGCTTAGTACTTTTGCTTGGGGTGGACAGGAGTGGAGCATGGTTGCTCGCCAGTTCCTGCAAAGACTTAGGTCTCCTTTCTTTAGAAGTTTGACAAGGTATCCCTTCTTCCATTCGGGAGGTACCTTCCCTTTCTTCCAAACCTTCTGCAATAGCGGCGTGAACGAGCATGAGTGTTTGGTATATAACCCTTCAATGTTAGACGTTAAGAAAGAATGATACCAAGTGCATATTTCAGAGTTTAGCAAGATTTACCCAGCTTATTGTTGAGGAGTTAAATAGTGGCATGATTTCGAAAAACATCAACATATAGAATAATGATATTTAAACCAATAGTGAATGTACATTCTGCTGCATTCATCACGTTTTGATAGAAATATGATGTACGTGGAAACCAAAAATTGTTGAAAAAAAGTGAAATTATGCACAATAAGTGGTAAAGAGTCAATGTATGTATATTTGGTGAACCAATCAAAATTGTTGTCACAATATAAAGTGTTTCAAAAAATCCAAGACAATATTAGTTTTGGTGTTTTAGCACAACTATGTAACGAATAGTGTGCCAAAGTAAACTTATTATCCACAGTCGTAAATCTACCTCCTACCTTACCAAGGTTTCAACAGTCAGGTAATATCACTAACCCTCACACCATAGGTATGGCTCATTGTCTACTACATGGATGTGTAGCTAAGTGTGTTTTATTTCATTTCAGTCATAAATCGTATGTTAATCATGTTTGACAAACCAATGTAGACCACGATTTATAAAGATACGTTAAATCACAGAGCTCACAACAAACTAACAAATACTGGCCACTAAACTGTAATTGATAATCTGATACTCTCTCTTTCTCGTTTAGTCCTTATTCATGTTCCTATGATGGACTACAATCATTTAGCGGAGTAATATACGATTTAAGTGAGTAATGCTTAATGTCAAAATGTTGCGATGTGACACTGACATAAGGTGAATATTGGGAGTTTTAGGCAAACTTTTGAAATGAAGTGCTGTGGAGAATTAGTTTCATGTTAAAAATATTCAGTCATTATTAACATGGGAAGTAGTAATAATACCGCTATCGGCCCAAGTTGCACTGTCGTAAATCACTACAAGATAACAAGATAAAGGATATAGAAACAGAAAAAAACAGTATTTACAGATCCTAGAAGTGGAGTTAAGGTGGATACAGTAAGAAATAAAGTATAAAGTGGCAATCAGAATTAAGGTTAAATGTGGATGCAACTGCGCCACTGAGATCTATTCTGAGCCATATTACCCAAAACCTATAATAACTGGTCTACATCCCCCTACACGTCTCAGATTAACGGCCATGGTTTAGCTGGACCACCTTTTACAGCCTAAACCTACTTTGGTTAACGTTAAGCAACATGGGAGACAGTAACTAAGCATGCGTAACACATGGCCTAGTCGCTTCATCAACTGACTCAACTCTTTTACCTAAAAATCTAAACCTGACTTATACGTTACTGACGTCGTGGCATCACGACACACGGCCTATGGTTACGAAGGCAATGGTTGTCAAACACCTGAAGCCTTCTCATATCACCACCTACTTTTAGTTGTCATGTTTCACAAAAGTGCGGTAGGACCGATTGGACTGCAGTGCAGTACATTCCAATCTTAATAGGCAATCGGATATCATGGCAGGGTTACAAATGAGGTAAGTATCCGTGCAGAAGCTTTGTCCGAGACTGACCCACCGGGGTTGATGTAAATCTTCAAGTAAGTGAAGTGTTCAGTATGTTAGACTACTTCACTGCCCATTTTTTAATAAAACCAACGAATATCAGTCCTGTAACAACCATTTGTGTTTCAATGGTGACAAACACATCCCGAACATTCCCAAATTTCCAGTCAAGGTGTCTAGAAGGCTCTGCTTCTTGTTAGCGTCTTCACCTAACAGGACTATGTTATCTGCGTAGCTTGAGTCTAGTATGGAATCGCTTGTAACAAAGTCAATCCCTGTTGAATCACAAGACGATAGGAAAATCCCCACAAGTACGTCTATGACAAAATCAAACATGTAAAGAGAGAGTGAACATCCTCGGTCAACACTACTCGAAGTATGTAACTTACCTGAAAACTTGATATGAACTCTAACACGCACACTGGTGTTTGACTACAGAGACTTCTACGGATGGATATACTAACTCGCCACTCTTTTTAGTGAGAGATAATACCATAAGATCTCACGATCTATGAGGTCGGATTTTACCTTCAGGTCAAGAAATACAATAGATGTTGAACACCAGTAAGTGTACGTGTGTTCCAGAATCTGGTGTAACGTTTCATAATTATCGAACCTAGAATCTTAGACAATATATTCCACAGACCGATTCCCCTGTCGTCACCACTTGGGGATTTCTCTCCTACGTTGAAGACTGAGACCAATCAAAGGGGATTATGTCCCATTCCCATACGCTGGCTAAAACTTTAGTTAGTCCAACCGATAATCCAAGATTACCATCTTCAAACTCCACAATCACTAGCACACCTAACCCTGGTGCTCTTCCTTACTTCAGATTACTTATAGGTTTGTCGACTTGTGTGTCAGTGTCGCGGGTCCCATTTTAATGTTTCATCCAGGATCCGATTGGACAGTGGGTAGCACTCGATGCCAGCTGAACTGTTCCTCAAAGTGTTCAGCCCATCGTTCTAGTTATCTCTTCTGCGAGTGAGTTACAGACTTATCTTTTACAGCTAGAGTCTCACTAGCCCTTAAACTTTCCCTCCAGTTTCCTTGATGGGACTAAATCACTGTTTACTATTGACTATTGCTACTGCCTTTTCCATCTCAGCCTTCGCTAACTTGAACTGTCTACGGTCATTGAGTAAAAATATTCAGAAACAGTGGTGTGAGTTGCTTTATTGCTCAGTGCGATGGCTTCATGATGAGGCCAGTATGAAGAACTGTAGGTGTGATTACTCACGAGTAGAGCGTTAAAGAACCCTGGATTCAAATGCTAACCACCACCTCATGAACAAAAAATGAACATTCCTAAAGTAACAGCTGATAACTTATGGACGAGTGTTACTACTGAGCAGGTATATGGTACTTGTCAAACCTCTCTACTCGAAATTACAAAGTCATTTAATGGGAAAAAAGACGAGTATACTGCACTGCAGTTCGTTCTATCTTGTCCTGTGAGACATGACCGTTAAAGTAAGAGACATGAAGCGATTACAGGGTTTTGATCACAGACACCTTTGCAGCATTGCCCACGTTTGGTAGAATCATCATGTGAGGAGTGTTGGAGTCAGCCCAAAGGTACTAGGCAAGACAAGCAAGTCGATCGATGAGGTTGTTAACCTTAGTCGACTGAGACGGTTCGATGTGCATTGCACATGTCGAGTCACCGTCTGCCTCGACGTCCCATGCTAGGAGTATTTGGATTAGGTTGGAAGAAGGCTCATGGTGGCCAGACCAAGACGTCGCACCAATCCATAAAGTCTCCTACTGTTGGTCTGAGCTGTGTGGCTAGGGTCCCCGAGATTAAAGGAATCCGTGGTTGAGGACTGTTGCTTAAAATCAGTCATTCTGGCACAGATGTATTTACTCCGTAATGTCTTTTAAAGCTTGAATATTTGTACTAACTTTTATCTTCAAGTTGTTTATTGTTTTATACAACTTCGTTCACTTTGATATCACTCTTATTCTATCCACATGCCATTGAATATTACTGTGAAGTGTGGTAATTTGAGCGGATGCACCAGTGTGGAGGGAGGTTCTAGGTCGTTTCTGTCTCTCTGTTTGTAATATTAAGTGAGGAATAGTCGGATTCTTAATATAAATTTCACTAGGCTGTGACAAACAAATTATTTCAACGTTCGTCTGAATAACACTGGTGTTTTTATACAACATAGAAACTTTATCCTAAAATATTTTCGTCAACACAACATACCATTAGGAAGGTCTTGTTTATTTGCAAATACAAGGACAATAGCATCTTGCATTTCTCGATCATTTGCAATTCGATGCAATTCTTGTCTAGCCTCTTCTATCCTATCTCGATCTGAGCTGTCGACAACAAATATAAGACCTTGACTTCCAGTGAAATAATGACGCCATAATGGTCTGATTTTCTCTTGACCACCAACATCCTATAGAAAAGAAAAAAAAGTAACTATGCTCAACAAATAATTTGATTTAACCTACCCAAACATTGAATTTTACATTTTTGTAAGTTACGGTTTCGACATTAAAGCCAACCGTGGGAATAGTGCTGACACTGGAGCCAAGCTTTAGTCGATAAAGGATGGCTATAAGCAAATAAATATAGTTATTGGACAAATAAAATTAATCAATACTTGTCTTCCCAGCAGCATCAAGACCCAGCATAAGAATACGCATTTCTTTACTTCCAAAAAGTTTGGAAAATAGTTTGCCCATTTCGGAAGTTATTGACCTCCAAAGGCACTAAACAGAAGAAAGTGGGTAAAAGTTAGAAAATATATCGGTTATACGTAGATAACAATGATTTAAGGAGGATAATACTTGTTCAGCACCCTATTCAATCAGGTAGGTATTACAAATATAAGGTATAGTGTTAGTTCATAACTTTTCACCTTCTCACACCAAACATTGGCACATCAAAACAGAAGGAAAGCTAAAAATGAAAATGATCCTACCAAATGTAGCAGAAAATGATGAGATGTGCGGCTGTACACCATCACGATATCACTGGATCACTGAAGTCAGGTGTTTCATCAATGCCAAGGAGTATTGCAAGTATTCAAGAATGGAGTAAAGTTTTTGAAGCTAGAAGGAAACTATGTAACGAGAAAGGATGTAACCAGTAACCGGTAACCAGAAACACAAGGAGTTTGATAAGGTGACAACTGTTATAACATGAAATACTTAAGTGTTTCACTTAACGTAAAAAACCAGATGAAGGAGGTAAGAATGCTAATGAAAGGGTAATTGTGAACTAATTATGAATAACGAAGTCAGAAAGGTGGAAGAAGGGAATCGAGGCAGGGATAAAAGGAGAGAGTGAACACCGTTCTTGGCTTCCTTTATGCACAATTTACAAAACTGCTCTTTTCAAACCATCCAATTCGAATCCGATAATGTTCTACAGACAAGAGAATTGTTGCGGAAGGATTGGTTCCCCGCATTATCAAACCATTTTATATAAAGCCGAGAAAACTGTCGCACTCAACGATTGAGAGTAAGTACCTGTATAAGAGATGTACGAATGACAATTTCATAATATGCGAGGAAGATACGGCACTGCAGCCGTTGGTTGAAACGTTTAATCGTTGTTACCAATCGATCAACTTCCCGTCGAAACTTGAAGGATTTCATCTTTTGGTTGTTGTACTAAAAAATAGGTCAACAGAAAGCTGAGATGGGACGGTGAGTACACAAACTCCCACACCGGACTTCAATGAGCACGAAAAAATCCAATTCATTCGCTTTTGTCGAGATTACAGATGATACAATTTAAGGTGAACTGGAAATATATCGATAGATATTCTTGAAAGATGGATATCTAAACAGGTTCATCAAGAAAAATTAAAAAGCCAAGTAACACGTTAAGAAAATTCTCCAAGTCCTAGAAGAAACTGTCTACAAACGTTGATTTTAATAGTACTGCAGCAGAGATCCTTTGACTAAATCACTAAGAAAGACATTTTTTGCCAGTTGAACTCCAGTACGCTTTTAGTCGGTAATTGATCTATTGATGTGTCAAAAACAAACTGTTACTTTGGGCTGTATAGATATGCGTCTACACGTTTTCTTGCTCCTGCTCCTGTGGAGTTAGACAGGTCGAAAAAGGAATTCGCTTTCCAAACGCATCTCTAAATACTATCCCACATGGCTAACAGAAGGTCAATATAAATTTAGAAACACTTAGATACTTGAACACGTAGTGAAATCCTGTTAAGCAGCTCCACCGAAATCCTCTTTTAAGACTAACCATAAAGATAGACTAGACGGATCAAAAGAAGTACAGTTTCTTATGTTATGCTTAACAGAAGAACTGGCAGTCGATCAATTCAAGCGCAAACTCTGGGTGCGGAAGAAGTACGTTCACAACCTCTCCTTTTACCCGTATATTATTTCGCTTCTTTCCCTTTTCTTTTTTCTTCTACTTCTCTGGCTTCCTTATTAATAGCTACTTCACAATTAGGAGTGCCTTAGGATTTTCGTTTTCTCATCTTCTTTTCAATCCTCGTTTAGCTGTGAAAACTGCCTTGTTCTCTATTTTCGAGCTCCATTTTGGGGTTGGATAGCTATTGGCCCAAGGATCTCGGACACAATATTAGTTGAACTGATTCCCCTACGACTGTCACAGGAAGACTTCTCTCGCTTCTTATAGGCTGGGATGGTCAGTCAAGCCGACCATTCGTCAGTTCACTACTGCTCACGATCAACGTGAAGACTATTGGTCAATTTACTTTTGAGTCGCTTTCGCTCTTCATCGTAGTCAGAGCCAGTTGGAATCAGTCTTCTTGCATCAGTCAGTTCGAATGATGTCGCGGAAATCCAGTGACGGTTGTTAACCTTCGAGTATAGATTGCCAGCTGTCTTTACCGCTGTTTCTACTGCAGACTTAATTACACGCCACGTTTCCTCAGGATCAATATTACTGTCAAGTCCGGATAAATGATAAGCTAACTCCTCTCGAAATGCGTACTTGGCGTTCTCATACACCAACCAAGCACAGATAGCCCTTGCTGTTGCCTGTCTCCTGCAACCAGTAACATGCAGAAATATACGAGCGCAGTCACGAAAGGTTTTCAACCATTGATTCCTATTATTTCGAGGATCCCAATCCAGCAGTCTACACCTTCCTATACGGGTCAGGTCAACAGAGACTTCATGGGCTAGTGTCGCGTTTTGGTCTAGCCACTCCGAACTCTCTTCCAACTTAATCCAACTTTCCTTAGCACTGCATATCGAGGAGACGATCGATTAGCATGCGCAGCACATGTTCAAGCCACGTCAGTTGAGGACGGTTCACAACTTAATCGACTGACTTTCCTAGTACCTTTTGCCTAACATAGACATTGTTAACATGGTGATTCCATTAAACGCGAACAATGCTACGAAGACGCCTATAGTCAGAACCTGCAACCGCTTCATATCTACTTTTAAAGTCCATGTCAGCAGTATGACAGGACAGAACGGACTACGGCGCAGTATACTCTTCTTTCAATAGATGGTGGGATATCTTGCCGGTACCACCAATGTCGCAAGTTGGAAAAGCTAAATGAACCTTCTGCATTCCAGCAAGGACTTCCTCAGCAACCAATCCGTTTGGGTTAATGCAACTTCCAAGGTAATTGAAGTGGTTGACGCATTCGTCTGTGTACTTTAAGTCCACTAGATGCACTCCAAGAAGTAAATCAATCCCATGAAGTCAGATGTGCTCATGGTCATGTCCATCTACAACAAGATTTAACAGGAATGGTGACAGCGGGGATCCCTGGTGAACACCTCAGCCACCAGCACTTCTCAAATTCCCTAGTTTGACCAGTCTCAACATGCTAATTAGTTTAGCAAAACCAGTTAAAAGTACACTACCCGATTGGATGCCAGTCGGCAACCACCAATGTAGCCAAAGGCGGCAGTTCGGCTGATAGAAAAGATGAGTTGCATTGAAAGCTTAAGTAATCTAAAGCAAGAAAAAGCAGCAGGGCCAGACATACTAGTACCATCGGTAATTAAGGTTGTAGTAAAGGATTTCTAGTATTGGCTAGTGTATGGAAGTTAGATATGGTCCTCTCTGGTTGGTCTTAATCACTGACCTTCTGTCTTCAAGAAAGAGAAATCCTCTTGTAGTAACCACAGGGAAACATCCTGACAAAGGGTTTCAGGTTATAGGTCCGATAATCATTGGACGTCTGAGTGGAGCTCGAAAAAAGAAAACCCGAGGGAAAACTAAGGAACCTTCAGACCTAGTCATGGGTGCATCCACCAGATATTCAACCTCCGCCAGGTTCTGGAAAACAGGCACACTTCCTGGCGCCCGACACTAGCTGTATTTATCGACCTGAAGGCGGCATTCGACTGTCTATTGAGACGTCTTATGGCAGGGTCTACTTCTGAAAGGAGTGCCGAGTAAGTACACCACTCTATTGAAAGCTCGAACACCTGGGGCTGTTAGTACCTGTGTTAAGTTACTCTTTGAGTTGTGTACGTCGAGTAGTGTTTACCAGGTATGTTCAATCTTATTCAACTTTGTCATAGACTTACTTATAGAGGTCTCTCTCCCGACGTATAACTTTAAAGGGATTGACCTTATCACTAGAGAATCCTTGGTAGATCTTGAATATACATGATATGGCTCTGTTAGATGAAGACTTTGGCAGGAAACAGAGTCTCTTGGGGGCTTCGAGTGACAGTTTGAGATGTTTAGAATGCGTTTCTCGCCACACATGTGCAAACTACTGCTTCAGAACTGGTCTTTAGCGGTGTTCCATCTATCAATAAAGAGTGAAGTGCGGTGAACAATTCACTTATCTGGAGAGTCAGATCAGCACTGGTGAATCAGTAATCGACGAAATCTCATCACGGATACAAAAGGCTTGACTGACTTTTGCCAATCTACACCGTTTATGGCGCCGCCACGATATTCAGTTATCCGTCAAAGGTTGAGTATACTGTGCTGTGACTCTCTGTTCTACTGTATTTGTGAAACATGACTATTAAAGGTAGGTGATATGTGACCGTATGTCGTGGAAACAACAAGATTGATAGCGAAGTCAGTTGGTGAGGTTTTGAACCCCTTTCTTCTCAGATAACTGCGGCATGTGCTAAACATGCATATTCACCGTAAGCCTCACCGCACAATGTTGACTGAGGTAGGTTTAGGCTGGAAAAATGGGAGGGACGGCACCAATGCATGAAGCCATCGCCTGTTAACCTTTGTGTTAGGAAATGTAAACACTTTATAGGACACTTTTTGGTGGTTTTTTCTGTACTGTTTGTCAGGCACTAGGAAATAAATTAATATAAGGATGGATCTAACGACTTGAGAGATACAACGAGTCAGTTCCAACGATGCATGTTCAGTTTACCGATTGATTCACGTATTTAAATCCGAGGTCTAGCGGCAACAGTGTTGATGTAGGGAATCAAAGTGCATTTAGTCAACTACAAATAACACTCGACTTGACAAATGTATGCGTATTGATCGGATATGTCACACTTCTTAGAATAACAAGACAAACTAGAAAGTAAGTAATGCGTCAACTTTACGGGCTAGTTCACAATCACTCCATGAGCTAACCAGTATGCATTTGACTACAAAAGGAAAACTATAAGTTCATTGCCATAATACAGCAGTAAGAATGAAAGGCTTCCAGTGTTGTCACCTCTACCATTCCGAAAGCAATGAACATTTTCGCGAGGAAGCTCAGGGAAAACGACGGAACATTTTCAAAACGAGGTGCAAATCGAAAGACACGTGCGGTGGGTATACCGAATGCGAGTAGACGCAAAAAGAAGAAGGGTTCAAATGGATGAATAAATAAAAGACGGGTTAATTTAACCACTATACGGATTAGTGTAACTGCATGCTTCTCTACACGACTCCAATCAACAGATACAAACCAACTTTCCAGGTAATATTTCTCCAGGCCAACAGCGTACTAGTAAAGCTGTCCAAGTAAAAAGTTACTGGCAGACATTCAGAAGCATAAATAGCCTTGTCTTAAATGGTCATAGACTACAATGCATTTAGTAATACTGGAAGTGTACATATTGCTTCCCACTGAACGTTAGGATACCCCAAACATTAAAAAACACTTAAGATTATCAGATCTTGTAATTTTATGGTAGATAAGAAGAACCAAATCCTAATTAAACTAAAGATCCTAACTTACAAAAATCTTGCACACGGGCTTTAAAACAAGCGGTTTTACTGCATCCGAATCACCCGCTGTTAAAACGTTCTGAATAGTGTAATATAATTAGACTTCATGAAAAGTATATTTGAGTACAGTCTCATAAAATTTAAAAACGATTTCTAAGAATCATCTGTGAGAGATTATGAGTAATTAAAACTATTGGTTCACCATTTCTATCAAACTTATGTATCCCAGTAGTAAAAGAACCTCTAATTATGAATACAAGTGTTACGGTTCACTGCAGTATTTAAAATCACGTATCCTGGACAAACATGGTCCTGAAACTCATCGCAAGACCGAAAAAAGCACTATTGGTCCTAGTTATCGCTTTCACAATGAGAAGAGTCTGAATCTAGAACAAGAGTACACCAAAATATTTTGTCCGGTCGACGCGCATAATATCCAAGCAAATAAGGATGCCGGTTTAATGCTCGGAGATTGTGTACGCAAAATTTATGGTTGCAGGTACTCATTGTTTATCCGATATAATCGTTCTATATACTTGATTTGAAGACAGTGGGGCAACATCAGGCGCACATTGGTCACTGATCTTGTATCCTCAGAAATGTGTTAACGTACTTGCCAGCTGGATTGTACACAGATAGTGCAAATTTTGGCTGCAATATACCACGTTACTTTAGCATACCACCCGGAAATTCAAACCCAACCAGTTTGCTCCAGCCTTATAACCCAACACTACAGTGGAATTCCATTGCATTGAAAGTATGAGTTGACACACTCTCCAACGTCATCATAGAGACAGTTCACCGAAGTCATCGCGTGATACCCCCAATGAAGGTTCATATGTGGTGGATGCAACCTGAATAAATGCCGTGGCCAACTATCCACTGGTTGTACATGTTCAATATCTAGGGTGTGAAAGTAAAAGAAAACACAAATCGGACACAGAATAGGAATCATATATATGTCTAATGTTACCCAGAAAATGCGATGCTTTAGGCGGCTTAAGCACATGAACCACAAATTATCTCCGAAAGGTTGTTCATTAAATCACAGCGTTTTGCGGTGTGACATCTAATGAGCAAAATAAAATGTAATTAGACTGGGTCACGTAGTCCAGCTGATCATGTCTGTCGACATGTTTGACATTTGAAGGGGATGGCTTGTTGTTTGAGCTTTCTGTCTGGCCCCTTGGAGCGAACAATGCAAGTGATTTCAGTTTACTTCGCTGAAGACATGCATCGCAGTCCACGAGCTCCTGTGTCGTTCGTTCCATAAGGATGAAGAATGAGGCCGACTGGAAGATATCATCCGTCTGTCATCATTTGCCCAGGAAATATCTATCTGAAGTAAGCTAGTGAAGAAGATTATACGCTCGTGCCGCTAAAAATTTTAAGTCGTGACCTTCCATTGGATCTCATCACTGTTTTCAGGGTTACGTCTGGGTCAACCAAGCGAATAGGCACTGGGAAGTCAACTTCACTGTCATGTCTCAACCATCGTCTCTGAAGCTAGAAGATCACCAGGTTTTCCTTCGAAGAGCTTCTAAACAGAAGCGGCTACACACGCTCTTTACAAGGTTTGTGTCGAACCGACATGGTATCTGGCCTGTTAGCTTCTTTTAGCCAAACAATATTGACACGTCGTGACTTCATGATGTACAAAGAAGTTTCACTAGATGATTATTGAGTAGCGCCAATAATGTGGATCATAAAGATAGGTGCAATATGCTATCTATTGAACCGCTATGGAAACGGTGTCTCGGAAATAACTTTGTTCCTCCATGCAAAATTTCAAATGGCCTACCATGCTGTTCCTCCCCACCCAGTTGGAGACACGCACCGCCGTGTGACCTTAGAAATCACGCACTGGGGTTGGCGATAGATAGATTCAATAAGCAGGCCAGATATAAATCCTTCATTACTTATCAAAGCTTGATCTGGAATGGGCTTTCCGTATCCGTGCGGAGCAGCGCTTCTAGGTCACGTCTTGTCAACTCACTTTTGTGTTCAGATGATATCCACAGTCTGTTTATAGATAGATGCCTTACAACGGAAGTACCAGAAATGGCCATGTATGACCCTAGTGTCCGCCAGGTATGAAACCGATTATTATTTGAGGATAAAAATAAGTGACTTTTTAAGGTATTATTTTATCGGCTAAATAGTCCTTAACTTGGGACACTGAAAGCTCTGTGCACGTGTCAGCTTCCCCTCCATTTTATAACCTGCACTATCGTGGTAAGGTGGCCGTTATCTGGTGAGTAGCGTACTCATTTGAATTGGAAAGGCGTTAAAGTACGCTTAGCTGTTTTACTGGAAAGAGTTGGTTATTCCTTATCTCCTAGATTCTCGCTAAGGCATGTCAGCCGATATGCTCCACAGTTCGGACAAGTAATTTCAGTTCTATGCTTTGTATTCATCGTGTGTCCAAGGCACAAAAGGTAGCTTCCTGGGGCGTGACTATATCCACTCAGGACGAAGTCATCTATCGTAGTTGACTACCATAGGATAACCAACACTTTTCAGCAACTATACGTCACTACTGCATGTTCCTGTGAACCGAATTACCCTCCTTCCAGCTACGACTACACAGTTAAAAGTCGCTGACTGCCACTTCACCGTGGTTTATTGCAGGTGGGATAGATAATTTTACGCGTATGCCCTCACACCCGCATCTGAGTTCCTTTTCTTTGGTTTTTCTGTTTAGATTTTGTTGCTTGTTAATCAGAGTAAACCAAAATTTGTTTCATAGACGCTTATATCTGCGTTTCCTTTTCTTTCTGATGGACATTTATAAAACGTAATAGCTGTATAACGATTGTTTTGGCACTTCGCTAAAAATTTGTGGCTGCAGCCAGAATCGCATCCAGAAATGTTACTAAATACTGTTTGTATTTAAACATGCACGTCCTGAGACTTAGGATGGTCATCGCGCAGCAATGAAGCAGAGCAAAATGGATCTCACATGAAGCGGGCCCTTGAAGGCCTACTGAATAATTTCATGATGAAACCGTAAATGTCACTGGCCATAATATGACAAAGGTTGCTGTACTGAGTTACATCTTTCGCTTAACTCATTCAAATGAACCTCTTCTCAGCAACGCGGACCTGAACAACCGCTTCATACTACGTGACACCGTACGACACTGATCCCAGCTTTTCCCCTCCATACACTTCAGAATTTAAATCTAGTTTTGGATGCTGTCTATAAACAGCACAAACTTACTGAATATTCGCGCATTTTCAGCTTTACCTAGGCACAGCATTTAATATGCTCTGTGTTCTCACCGATTATGGGGTTCACTCACCAAAATTTTTGAGGCTCAGTCACCACTGCCAGATTACGGTTAGTAGTGAGTTCGATTACTCGTCGGCCTCTGCGTGTGCTACACGAAGCAATGGGAGAAGTCTGCCCGCACGACTAGATCGGTGGTGGCGTGCTGACACATGAAGTCTTACTCTGAAGTGGTGGTTGTTTCACTTCAGCTACATCAGCCACGAAAGCTGGCTTGAGTCGATCGAGGGCCACAGTCTCTTGCTTACCCTGTTTGTTTACGGCAAAGTATTTTTCAGCTCAACTAATCACTGGGAAGGGTCCCTCATATGGAGATTGCAAACCCTTTCTAACCCCGTCGATCCGTACGAAAACAAACTCGCAGGACGTCAGCTGCCTGTCCAGTTGTTCACGAAGGTCGCCAGTGCAAGGTGGTGTGGGCTATATAAGTGACATACGTTGAGCGAGGTCTTCAGCAAACGTAAAGACGTTGGTTTCCGATAAATTCCGTGGGTTTACTAGCTGTCCTGGCAAGACCAAGTTCGTTCCATATACTGGCTGAGCTGGGGTACACCCTAAGTGTTCTTTCACAGTGGATCGGATTCCAAGCGGGGTGATTGGAAGAAATTCACTCCATTTAGTACTGTCTCGCAGTGCCATCAACAAGCTTTTCAGTGACGGTGAAATCTCTCCACCAAACTATTCGCTGCCGGATGATAAGCTGTGGTTTGTATGTGATGTACTCCGAGGAGTCGAGTGGACTCTTGGAATAAAGTCGACTGGAGTTGTGAACCTCTGTCAGAAGTGAGTGTGGAAGGTACACCAAAGTTTGAAGCCCAGCGGTCAAGGGAAACAGAGGCGATATTCTCAGCTGAAGTATCACTTGTAGGGCAGGCGATAGTCCATCTGGCAAAACGGTCGACAGCTGTTAGTATGTGTGTGAATCCTCTGGATGCTGGAAGAGGTTTCACAAGATCTTTATGGACACGTTGGAAACATTTGTTGGGTTGTTGGAATCGGTGACCTGTAGCGATCGTGTGTCGACGAACTTTTGAACGTTGACACTGCAAGCATTCCCGTGCCCATCTTCTGATATCCGCATTCATGTTAGGCCACACGGAACGTTGACCAATCATTATAACCGTGGCTCGCACACCTGGATGCGATATGGAGTGTAAATGTTGAAACACGGCTTTCCGACATGTTAAGGAAACGAAAGGACGGTGCGCGCCAATGGACATATCACACAACGGTAGCGTCGGACAGGGGTGTTTGGACGTCTTTGAGAATAAGAGTTTGTTTGGTGAGCCAGAAGATCATGGTCGCTGCCATATTTACAAGCTCGATGTTTGGTTGGCATGTTGGGAGATTCACATGGATTCGAGACAAGGAATCGGCGACAACGTTAGCATTGCGTTTAATGAACTGGATATCTGTAGAAAACTGCGAGATATATTATCCAGCTGTCTTGCTTCTCTTGGCGAATAATTATCCAGTGCTGCTCGAAACGCATAGAATAATGGTCTGTGGTCGGTGAGGATGGTGAAATCACGCCGTTGTAGCGGGTGATTAAAGTATTTGACCGCAAGGTAGACGGACAGGAGTTCCCTTCCGAAGGTACCGTATCTTGTTTGAGGTGGCTCCAGCTTCGTGGAAAAGAAAGTAAGTGGAAGCACCGCATCGTCAAGCTTTTGCTGATGGACGGCTCCCACTGCAGATTGGGAGGCATCTGTGCAGAGGATCAAACGTGCCTCTGGGTTAGGATTCAAATATGAAAGCATGACTACCTGTGATAATGCTTTTTTTGC